GTCTACCCTGTTTGTTTTTGCACAAAAAGCATCAACAGAGAATATGCAAACGACAGCACGAGAAATGCTAAAAATGAGCACTTCATTAGCATACTCTCTGCCAGCAAAAGCCTGCAGTGTAGACACAGCCTAAGCAATAATCACTAATGAGTCCGAGAAGTCATGGAAGATGTATGACATCCCAGAGGACTGGAGAAGGACAAATATAATAACTATTTTTAAAATTATTTATAGACTAGTCATCCTAATTTCAAAATGTGGAAAGATACTGGAACAAATTATTAAACAGCCAATTGGTTAGCACCATGTGGGTACTAGGATTATAAGGAACAGCCAACCTGATTTTTGTCAACAACAAATAATGCCAAACCAACCTACTTTCCTTCTTGAACAGATTCACCAGCTTAGTGGCTGGGGAGAAGTTGTAGACAGGATATATCTTGATCTTTAGTAATGCTTTTGACAGAAGCCCACATGATAGTCTCATAAGCAAATGAGAGAAAAGTGGCCTAGATGAATTTACCATATGGTGGGTGCACAGATATTTGAAATTCTCTACTCAAAGAGCAGCTATCAATTGTTTGCCATCAAATTGGGGGATGTATGTAGTGAAGTCCCACAGGAGTCTGAAGTGGAGTACCAATCAATACTTCCTTTAGTGACTTAGATAATGGATTAGAGAGCATGCTTATGAAGCTAGTATAGGACACCAAGTTGGGAGAGGTTGCTAGTGCTGTGGAGCTTGTGTCAATGATCTTGACAAGTTCAGAGAATTGATCTGAAACAATCAAGATGACATTCAACACAGACAAATGAAAAGCACTTCACTATGGAAGAAAAAAAAATCAAATGGACAATTGTAAAATAGGAATGTGCCAAGGTCCTTGCTCAGGTCCCTTACCCTGGGACACCTTCTGGTGCACAAATTAGAGACCCCTTCTGGTGCACTCACTGGTGCCTTTTATTGTCAGTTTTCCACCACCTTCTATTTACAGAGTTGTAAATTGCCACAAACTCAGCTAGCTTCCCCCATCTGCCTGGAGGACACACTCAGCCACACCCTGACTACTCCCTTCTCCTGGTGCCTTTCACTGCCTTATATAGCCCTCTGGCTAATGAGGCCCACAGCTGTTTCTAATAGCCCTTCAGGCCTGGGCTTGCTCAGATGGATCTAATTGATCTTTTCAGCCAGGCTGTAGTGGCAGAGCTCTGGCTTAGCCAGCAGTCTGCCCTAGAAATAATTGACCATTTGGTAGTACTGCTGAAAAAGGACCTGAGGGTTAGATTGTATCACAAATTAAATTGTGTGAGTGAACAATGTGACACAGTGGTGAAAATATACTAGTATTTGGGTGTGTGTTAACAGAAGTGTTATGTACATAAGACATGAGAGAGAATAGTTCTTCTCTACTTGGCCTTAGCATGTCCAGTTCTGGGCACCATACTTAAAAAAAAAAAATCTGAACTAATAGGTTGAAAGTCCAGAGGAGAACAGCAAAAATCACTAAAAGCTTAGAAAATGTGACCTATGAAGAAAGGTGGAAAAAACTGGGCATGTGTTGTCTTGAAAAGAGACTGAGAAGGTACCTGCAAACAGTCCTCAAATATTTTCAGGGCTGGTACAAAGAGGACAGTGATCAATTCTTCTCCATGCCCACTGAAGGTAGGACAACGTAAGTGTGATATGTAGCAAGGAATATTTAGGTTAGATGTTGAGGAAAAACGTGACCTATATGGATGAATGACTATTGGGTAGTTATCCAGGGGAGGCTGTATAATCCCTGTCATTCTAGGTTTTTAGGAACAGGCTAGACAAACACCTTTCAGGGAAAGTCTGTGTTTGATCTCGTTTCAGTACAGAAGCCAGGATGAGATGGCCTCTCTGTCCCTTCCAGCCCTACATTTCTATGAGTCTTTATGCAGATACTGCACAACTTGCTACCTTTACAGTGCTATGATAAATCTAGTGATTCCATTCTGGGGGAGTCGTTTGGACTCCTTTGTTTCAATGAGCCTAAATTCCAGATGAGACAGGATCATGCTGTCTAATTCCTTTGGTGCACTCACTTGTGAATTTTTGGCCATATCAATCTTGAGCTACTTTCCCAGAATCTGGATCCTTAAAAGACAAGGTTCTTTCCTTTATGTTTTCCTGTAATCTGCCACGTACCCAGCTTTCCTGGAAATGTATTTCTCACTGGCAGAATCTACATAATATTTATTGGCTTAAATCATGGAGACTGATGTTGCAAGTCAAAAAACTACCCCATTGAAATGAAGTTTCACTTTACTTGAATGTGACACCCAAAGGAAGGTGACACAATGCTGGTGGCTTTGGGCCCCAGTGGGGAAAAAAGAGGAACCGAGCCAGAGAACTCACCTTTGAGCCTGTGACTTGTGTATTTCTCAAAAGCAGACAGAGCTGTTCTGTCCGTAGGACACATTGGGATGGCCACTTCAGAGCCCCAAGCTCTGGGGGGCTCTGTGGTGCCTGTCTCAACAGTCCTATGGATGAGAGAGACCTGGGGAATTACGAGGTCTAATGTGGGGCAACAGCAGGGTTTGCCCCCATCCCTGCACTCACCCTGGCAGGAGTCAGAGCAACCAAGCAATCTGCTTCATTGAGTTGTCCCCTCCCCCCATGCGGTCCTTTTCCAGCCAGAGTACCAACTGTTACAGAACAAGAGACAGCAGGAGAAAGGAGTCCCAGAAGGAGTGGCTTGGCTCCCTACCCCAGAAACCCGCTGCAAGCCTAACCCCTGGCAAAGGGGAGAAGGCTGCCAGACCAAATGCTGGCCAGAGAAAGAGGGGCCCTTGCCATAATAGTAAAGATTTACAGAAAGTAACCAGAGTTCTCCATGGCAGACTATTATCACATTGGTCCCTGCACATGCTGTGCGTTTCTTTTCATTTTTTTGACATAATGCAGCACTTGATCTTGTCCTGCAGTAAAATACTGATCTGATCAGTTAATAAAAACAGATTTGCAATCTGGCCACAACTGGAATGGCAAAAGACTTAATCACAATTGATCAGATGGTCTGGGCCTCTCTAAAATATTGTCATGAAAGTGTTCTCCATACCTCACTGCTATCCATAATTGTATATCAAGGCAGTGCAGTCTCTGATAATCCCTTACACTCATAGCACCTTTTCATCTATAGCAGTGTCTCTCAGTGGTCCGCGAAACCACTTTCAGAAACCTATTAATTGGCTGTGCCAGTTTGTTTATATACCAGTGCTGTGGCCACAGAGCCTCGTGGCTCCTATAGGCTCCATTTCACAGTTTGCAGCCAAGGGGAGCTGTGGGAAGCGGTGGCTTGGCCCACGCCACTTCCCGCGGCTCCCCTGGGCCGCAAAGAGCGAACTGGAGCCAATGGGAGCCACGAGGCTCCGGCTGCGTCTAGACTGGCATGATTTTCCACAAATGCTTTTAACGGAAAAGTTTTTCTATTAAAAGCATTTGCGGAAAAGAGCGTTTAGATTGGCATGGACACTTTTGCGCAAAAGCAATTTTTGCGGAAAAGCGTCCGTGCCAATCTAGACGTGGTTTTGCACAAGAAAGCCCTGATCGCCATTTTTGCCATCGGGGCTTTTTTGCGCAAAACAGTTTTTACCTGTCTACACTGGCCCTCTTGCGCAAAAGTATTTGCGCCAGAGGGCTTTTTCCCGAGCAGGAACATCATAGTATTTCCGCAAGAACAATGACAATCTTACATTAGATCGTCAGTGTTCTTGTGCAAATTCAAGCGGCCAGTGTAGACAGCTGGCAAGTTTTTCTGCAAAAGCACTTGCTTTTGTGGAAAAACTTGCCAGTCTAGACGCAGCCCCTGTGGCCACAGCACTGGTATATAAACACACTGGAGCAGCCAGTTAATAGGTTTTTCAAAGTGGTTTCGTGGACCACTTTGAGAGACCCTGATCTATAAGGCCTCAAATTGCTTTACAAAGGGGTATAGGTATCAGTATCCCTGTTTTATTGCTGGGTAACGTAGGTACAAAAAAATAATCACTTCTTCATAGTCAAACGGGGACTCACTGTTGGTGCCAGAAACAGCGACAGTAGTACCTTACATTCTCAATTGAGATTGAGACCCAACTGTGCTTGGTGCTGTGCAAACATGTTGTAAGAGAAAGTCCTGCCCTAAAGAGCTTACAGTTTAAATAGATAAGAGGGAAAAAGGAACTATTATTATCCCCATTTTGCAGATAGGAAATTGAGAGAGAGAGAAAGATTCAGCCTGAGGCAAATCTGGTTAGAGCCAATAGGAGTCCTTTCATTGGCTTATTTGGGTTTTGACTATTCACCCTTTATGATATTTGTGTACTGGCTGTTATTGTCATGAACTAATGATAGATCAGTGAGTCTATTTTGCCGATCTTGTGTCACCATCAGAGTTCTTCCAAAAATTAGTTTTTCACTGTTTAATGGAAACCAGAAAGGTATTGGGCTGATAGTAAAGATAGTTTTTATTGTTTCCATGAGCTCCACAGCAGGTCCTGAGGCTCTGAACATTGGCCTCATGCCTGGGTCTCTGCAGCTGCCCCCATCTATGGCTGCATGAGAAGAGGGGGCACAGTTCAGCACCTCTACCCTAAAAATTGTTCCAACACCACTGACTGTCTGTGGGAGCCAATAGTTAACATTAAGCATTTTATCTGGCAAAGGAAGAGGGGCTTTGTGCCTGTTACGAACAAGAGTGATCTAACTGCTAACGGGTACACAGAGGATATATAACTATGCACCCTGCTAATCTGGTCCCCAATGTTCATGCAACTTGTGAACCCCACCTTCGCTTCACAGCTTGAAACCTGACCTCTGCACTCTGAGTCTGTGTTATCATGCTCTCATTTTAAAATGATTGTTACTTTACAAAAACCTAGCCGTGGCTGCACTGTCACTTCCAGTAGACTAACACAAGGCTGAGTTATAATAGGAGGGCCTGACAATTGTACCACAAACATCTAACGTTGCAACTGGAATTGTCCCCAACACTCACCGGAAAGACACCATGCAGATTCCAGTGGGCCAGATGAGGATGATGGAACTATTAGAGTTGAAACTGAATGTACAAGCTTCATCCTCCTCCTCCTCCTCACCGTATACTAACCACAGCTCACAGAGATCCAATCTGTGCTTTAATCTGAAGGTCGTGCCAGATCTAAGAGAGGAACAGGGATTAGAACTGTTTCATTCCTCTGCAAAACCCTTGGAGTCCTTTGTGCTGAAAACATTTCACCATGATTTAGCTCCACTTTCAAAGCTTTGAAAATTCTGAGCTAGTGTCTCAGTTGATGTAATCTGGCATAACTTCATTAACTTCAGGGGAAGATACAGATTTACGCTAGCTGAATATCTGAGCACACTACCTTCTCCCATACTGCCATCTATGCGACTCTCTGAGATCCAACAGTTAGCATTAAGTATTGGTTGAGCACTTGAGAACATTTTGAGCTCTACAAGCATGATATAGCTTCATTTTACTTTTTTCATTATTATTTATATTGCTATAGGATCCAAGAACCCCAGTCATCAACAAGCACCTCATTTCATTAGATGCTGTAGAGATACAGCACAAAACCACTGTTTCTACCCCAAAGACCTTATAATCTAAGTTTGAGACAAAAGAAAGACAAACTGGGCAGCAAGGAAACAATAAGACATTGCTGATCACCATATTAGGATGGGATCTCAGCACATCAGCAGCTTAGTCATAGTCAAGTTTTTTGTAGGAATCATGTGCTACTGCTTAAGGACAACTTTTTACAGCCCGATTTTACAACATACTCAGTGGTATGTGCCTATATATCTGAGACAAGAATTAGGACCAACATATTTTCATAGAAAACTAGAACTAGAAGGGACCTCAAGAGGTCATCAAGTCCAGTCACCTGCCCTTATGACAGGACCAAGCACCATCTAGATCAGGGGTTCCCAAAGTTTTTGACACGGGGACCAGTAAATCCATTCACAAGCTTATGGAGGACCAGGAACATTCATTTGCATATTTGCATATTCATTAAGCAAATGATGAATATTCAAATAAGTTGTTTCTGGTCCTCCCAAAGCCCCCAGTGCCAGCATTAGCAAAGCTTTTGATACAGTCACCCACAATATTCTTGCCAGCAAGTTAAGGGAATATGGATTGGATAAATGGACTGTAAGATGTATAGAAAGCTGGCTAGATTAGGGATTCCCAAACTTTTTACTTTAGTTGGAACCCAGTTTTTTTAGTACTGTTTTTTGCAGCCCAAAAATTTAAACACATATAAAAAAAAGAATTAAAAATGAATAAATTTTCAGTTTTCACTCGGCTGCATCCTCCATCCAGCCTGGGCCAGGGCTTGGGGGACCCGGTGCTGCATGGGCCCTCCAGGAGGTGGGAGCAGGAGCAGACTGGGTGTAGGGTATCTGGCTAGGAGGGAGGGTGCAAGGAAGGGTAGGGTTGCCAGGTGTCCAGTTTTGTACCAGACAATCTGGTATTTGAGGGTTTTGTCTGAGAAACAAATTGAGAAATTACCAGACATATAAAATGTCTGGTATTTTCTAAGTAGGTAAGTTTTATTATAATTAGGTGCATCAGCCCTTAGCTGCGAACTGCCTGGATAGTAGATGTGCTCATGCTGCCTGAGTGCGTCTACCTACCAGGCAGTTCGCAACTACTCAAGGGAGGATATGGGGGGGGCGGGGGAGGGAATGGAATCCCCAGGCAGACTCACTCCTCTGCCAGGGTCTGTAGAGTCTGCATGTGTGCAGGTCAGTCCCGCTCCCCCCCCTTCTCCTCCCGATCTCCCAGTCAAGCCCTGCTGCCCCCGTCCAGTCCTGCTTCCCATGTTTCCTCCTCCCCTCTCCCACCCTCTCTCTTCTCCTCTCCCACCTCCTTTTCCCAGTCTCCCCAAGTTTTGTTCAATAGAGAGAATTTCTATTTTTGAACACGTGTCCTTTATTTTGTACATCAGGAGGGGGGGCTAGGGAAGGGCAAGTGGAAGGAGGTGAGGGAGGGATGGGGTATGAGCCCCTGATGTGGAGGAATGGGGTGGCTCTGTGGGCTCCTTGGGATGGAAGCTCTCCTGCAGGATCTCCTGGATCCTGACAGCCCCCCGATTGATCTGCTTCCGCCGCCCGCCTGCCTCCTCCCCGCCCCATCTCCACAGGACAGCACCCCTGCCTCCAACCCTGCTTCTGCTGCCCGCTTGCCCCCTCCCCCCCATCTCCACAGGACAGCCCCGTTGCTACCAACCCTGCTTCTGCCACCCGCCCACCTGGATCTCTGCGGGACAGTGCCGCTGCCTCCAATCCTGCTTCTGCCGTCCGTCACCCACCCACCTGGATCTCCATGGGACAGCCTTGCTACCCCTAACCCTGCTTCCACCGGCCGCCCACCCACCTGCCCTGATCTTTGCGGGACAGCCCAGCTGCCCTCAACCTTTCTTCTCGGCGGCCGGTTCTCCCTCCCCCCCGCCGTCACCTCCTCCCAGCCTACCCTGCTCTGCTCCCCTACCGGCAGCCACGCTGAGGCCCGATATTTTTTTCCTGCAGCCCGGTACTGGGCCACGGCCCATAGTTTGGGAAACGCTGATCTAGATCATCCCTGATAGATGTCTAACCAACCTGCTCTTAAATATCTCCAGTGATGGAGATTCCACAACCTTCCAAGGCAATTTATTCCAGTGTTTAGCCATTCTGACAGTTAGAAAGTTTTTCCTACTGTCCAACCTAAACCTCCCTTGCTGCAATTTAAGTCCATTGCTTCCTGCCTTATCATTAGAGGTCAAAGAGAACAATTTTTCTCCTTCTTGTAACACTCTTTTAGGTACTTGAAAGCTACTATCATGCTCCCTCTCAGTCTTCTCTTTTCCAAACTAAACAAACCCAATTTTGTCAGTCTTTCCTCTGACGGAATGTTTTCTAGACCTTTAATCATTTTTGTTCCTCTTCTCTGGATGCTCCCCAATTTCTCCACATCTTTCCTGAAATGTGGTGCCCAGATGTGGATGTAATACTCTAACTGAGGCCTAATCAGTGCAGACTAGAGCAGAAGAATGATTTCTCGTGTCTTTTTCACAACATTCCTGTTCATGCATCCCAGAATCATGTTTGCTTTTTTTGCAACAGTGTCACACTGACTTATGTTTAGCTTCTTCATTTTCCAATGAAGAAGTAACCCTTGGAGACATGCAGGTGACCTGTACTTGCTTCCTGAAGAAACAATTTTATCCTTATTCAGTGCTGGGTTAATAATTTTATTATTTTCATATTATATTACATTAAAAAAGATAGGCACATCTTTTCTCTTGTGTGTGATCAGATATGCTTCATTTGCTATGAAATGTTGCTTGGCGGTGGACCTACACTTCTCTCTCTCTGTCTGGCCATTTGTGTATTGTGTAAAATGTGCCTCACGATGTATGGCTCTTTTCATATATAAGGGGACTGTTAGCACCTTACTAAAACTCAGTGGGAGTTTTTGGTTGGCCAGCTCCCAGTACCAAAGGGGAAGGGTCCATGAGAAATCAGGGCCTTGAGACTGACAGGCCCCAGGGACAATGGGAAGAGATCAACACTCCAGCTCAGCCTGATTGACAGGTTGGACAGATCAATGAGAGAATTAGAAGGCCAGGTCCTGTCCTCTGTGTGAGCTGGGGTTTTCTGGGTCTCTGTGAGAAAAGGAGAGAGCTGAGAAGAGCAGCAGGAAGAGCAAGCTGTGTGGAGAGACAGACCTGCAGTGTCAGAGCCAGGCACACACAGCCCAAGGAGTGCAAGCTGCGCCGAGGGGCAGACCTGCAGTGACAGAGCCACACACACAGCCCAAGGAGCGCAGACCCTGTGCTGAGCAGCAGACCCGCAGTGACCAGAGAGCCAAAGGAGTCAGAGAAGCAACACAAGGAGCTGGAGTCTGGTGAAGCAGTACAGTCTGCAGCTGGGTGTGGTGAGCAGCTGGGACCAGCAAAGGGGGGAAAAGAGGCTCTGGGCGGGGACATGCCACCAGCCAATAGGCCCTGCAGGCCAGACTTGGAGAGGGGTTGTAACTCCAACTGGGAAAGGGATCCTGCCACCTAAATCCTGAGGCCCTGTGGTCACTGCCAGAGCAAGCATGTCCAACCTGTAGCCCCCCTGCAGCACAGCCAGGGCCTGAGAAAGAGCCCTGGGACTTATAAGGAACAGACTGTGAACAGTCTGCAGACTGCTGTTTGTGATGTCCCCATGCTACAGAGAAGGACTATGTGTTCTCATTTAACCTTTCTCGTTTTTCCGTATACTTTTTTTTAATGAGTTGTTTAATAAATTGTATTTGATTTGAACTATATGTACTGATCACTGGGTCAAGAAAGCATCCAGTGTGCAGAGAGCACCCCGGAGTGGGGACACCCCAGCCCCTGCCCCAAGTGACTACAAGGTCAGGGATTAAGCCCCAGAAAACCTGGCCCTGTTGGAATTTTTTGGACTCTGCTACTCAGGAGAGTGGGAGGGGAGCCCTCAGGGTCAGGGAGGCCTTTGGGTAAAAGAAGTGGGAGTGGGGACTCAGATCCTTTCGCTGGTCCATTTCACCGGGGTAGTATAGAAGCCAGGAAAGTTCCCCACAATAGCGGGACCATTCCCCTGCTTACACATAGATAGCCAATTGTGTACTGAGAGACTGCAAAATCCACAAGGGAGTAAATCTGCAGGAACAAACAAACATGTGGCTTATGAATAAAAACAAAGGATTGTTCTGGTAAATCTAGGAGGACAAAGACAGACACTGGATCTTTCACTTGGGAGGCAAGCTGACAACATAGTAGTCTCTGTGGAAGGAGGATCACAGCTTGGCTGTAAATTTGCTGCAGGAATTTTGGGTGAGTCGTACATTGTTAGACAGGAGAGTATCTTGTTAATTCTAGGCTCTAGAATGCATGTTATGGTGTTATTTGGTAAATAACTGTTTGTTTCTAATATTTTTTCTTGCTATGACTTGAATCTCTGTGCTACATTAAATAAGTGTATGCTTGGTGTCACTATAAATGAAGAGAAGTGCTCTGAGGTAAGCAGAGCAGTGCTCTGAAGTGACACTGGCAAGCGGGGGTATACGGCTGTGTTGGAAGCACTGGATCTGTGGATACGGTGGGTGTCTAGTGGACACAGGGCTGGACATTCCAGGGACATGCTGAGAAGGCTCAAGGA